TTTGTTGCATGGCTGAATGTATGAATTTGTTGAATAATTTTTTTCATCTTCTGTATATTTTTAAATATTTGAGAGGAAGAGAGAAAGAGAGATCTCCCATCATTCCCATCAGCTGGTTCACTCTCTAAAAGCCTGCAACAGCATGAGAGCAAAGCAGGGGGCTGGGAACTTAATCCCAGTCTCTCCTGTGGTGTCAGGAACATACCCACTTGAGCCTCTCAGGGTTTGCATTGGCAGGAAGCTGGAGTCAGGATCTGGAGCTGAACATAAAACCCAGTTATTGCAGTGTGTGGGATGCTGATGTCCCAACAGGCATCTTAACCATTAGGCCAAATGCCCATCCCATCTCCTGTGTCTTGAGTGTGAGAAGGAACTATCTTCATCACCTTTAGTGACCAGTATTTAATCATGTCTTGACTGATGGAGGGTCATAACTTAATAGTTCTCCTCTATCATTTATCTCTTGTTCCCTTCCCAAGCCTCAGTTGACTTTAAGAAGTGACAAAAAAAAGCTGTTTTCCTCCAAGGCAATTCCTATTGTTCCATGGAAAAATCATCCTTTGAATTAAAGTACTGTGTTGGTAGCAGTGCTTTCTGAGTTATGCAGTTGGAGTTGAATAGGAAATTTGTATTTCAAGAGTGTAGTTTTCTCATTATCTGGCATGCATTTTATAAGATCTTGATAACAGATTCATTTGAAGTTCACTTTCTAAAAGTTTTCTTTTTTCAAGATTTATTTATTTGAAAGAGAGAGAGAGAGAGTGCTTTTATCCACTGGTTCAGTATCCAAATGGTCATAACAGCCAGGCTAGGCCAGGCCAAAGCCAAGAGTCAGGAGCTTCTTTCAGGTCTCTCATATGGTTGCAGGGGCCCAAGCACTTGGGCCATCCTCTGCTGTTTTTCCCAGCACATTAGCATTCAGCTGGATCAGAAGTGGAGCAGCCAGGACTTGAACTGGAGCCTATAGGCCATGCCAATGTCACAGATGGCTGCTTAACCCTCTGTGCCACAATGCAGCCCCTGGCTTAAAAGTTCTTTGTACATATATTTCATTCACAAATCTCAGAACATTTAATGATCTACGTATGATCTAGCAATTCCACTTCTGGATATTGATCCAAGGAACTGAAATCAGAATCTCAAAGAGATATCTGCATTCCTGTGTTCATTGCAGCATTATTCGCAATAGCCACGATATGGAGAAAAACCAGATGTCTATCAACAGACAAATGGTTAAAGAAAACACAGTACGTACATAGAGTGGAATACTGTTCCGTCTTAAAAAGGAAGGAAATTCTCTGATCCATGACAACATGGATGAACATTGAGCACATTATGCTAAGTGTGAAATATGGCAGTTATGGAAAGACATTAAATGCTGCATAGTTCCAGTTATAATGAGACCCTAAAGTAGTCAGATCCATAGAGTCTGAGTGCAATGGCAGTTGTCAAGAGTTAGGGGAAGAGTGAGTGGGGGATTGCTAATTACCAGGCATAAAAGTTTCAGTCAAGCAAGATGAGTAAGTTCTAGACATCTTCTGCACCACACTGTACCTATCATCAATAATGATGTGTCATACACCTAAAATTCGTTAAGAGGGTCGGTCACAGGCTAAGTGTTCTTACTTTAATAAAATAGAATACATAAAATATTTAGTGACTATTAAAGGGAAAAAGTCACATATCTCAGTGCGGTACACGTTTTCTAGCCATTTCTACTCTCTGGTGAGAATTAACAAAGAATATGTTCTTCCTCTGTGTCTTGTTGAAATTCCTTCTAACTCCATATACTTCACAAAAGATTGTTAGACTCTGAGAAAAAGCACAGTGTCCACTTTTTACTTCTTTTTTATGAATCAGTAATGCGATATAATTTTCATTTTAATAAAATCCTTTGGGATTTAAGCGGAATGAAAAAATTGAGAATTGGAAATATAAACTCCCTGGAACATGGACCGCAAGCTCACTTCTTTAGAGAAAGAACCTATCAGTTAACAACAATAAAACACAGTGCTGTGAAGGCTAGAATACATTTCTCACTTCTCAGTCATCTGAAAAATGTCACTTGGCCAACTTTAATTATCTTTCCCATTATCATTCAAATGTATGTTTGAAATACAGCACTATAAATAAAATGGATATTTTTAGATTGTCATGTTAGATTTTCACTGGTCATAAGCTGATATGATTTTCTCTTATTGTAGCTGCCTATCAGGGGGTCTTTCATACAAATCTTAGACAGCTCTCGAAAATCAACATTACATAACTAAAGACATGGGATATGGCTAACTGTTAACTCTCCTCACCCTTTATTACCAGATGAGTAATGACTTAGCAATAATAGTGACGGATTTAAAATGTTAGGAAGAATGAATAAAGCACAACTCGCTTTTTCTAAAGCAGAATTTTTCACTTGTTTTAAGATTGCCACTTTTAGTGAATGAACGAATTCTCTTAATGTTACTTATCTGTAAAAAGCTTATTACTCTGAACGGGAACGAAATAAGTTTATGGTCTGGCTTTGCTTTATAAGTAAGGAATTCTAAGGAGAAAAAAGCGGTTCTGGTTTAGACATGGAATTAAATGATGTTTGGACTTCGGTAATCCATAAACTGTGAAATTAGGCTACAGTTAATCTTCTGATAAAACACCTGGATTTAGGTTACACAATTGTTTAAAGTTTAATGAGTGGGAAGCAGGTATTTGGCCTGGTGGTTGAGGTATGTGCATCCACATGGGACTGCTTGAGTTTGGTTCTTGGTTTGGGCTACTGACTATAGCTTTCTGTCAGTTTAGACCCTGGAAAGCAGGACTGATGACTTGGGTGGTTGGCACCCCTGGATTGAGTTCCCAGGTTTTGGCTTCTGTCTCCAGCCAGGCCTGGCAGTTGTGGGCATTTAGGGGAGTGAAGCAGCAGGTGGGAATTCTCTATTTCAAATAAAAAATAAAAATTAAAAATTAGTAATTTAGAGGACTAGTCCTACAGGTGCACTTTCTCCCCTAGCTCCTTGGCAATAAGTTTATTCTGAATTTAAGAGAAAAAAAATGCCTTCCTCATAACAAAAAAGAAGAAAAATATTCCCAATAATTTCAAAGATTATTAGATTTACTTAGACTGAAGTTTAAAAAAAATCAGATTGTATACACACAATATTATCAAATATACAATTAACTAAAATGGGCCTGTAAATTGCAATAAGTCAGCTGAGAAAGAGGTATCCTGACCTGACTGGATATGGTTTGGTCGATTTTGTCTTTTCTTTCCACAGTTTCAGTAGCAACAGTCACAGTGACAGGACCCAGTATAAGGCAATCTCCCCCTTTCACACTGATAACAGCAAGAGTGGGAATAGCTGTATTGCACAACAGATTGTTGTTTTCAGTGTACCTGTTTTGAGCTGCTGTGGAAGGATGGAGATTGGAAGGCTTGCACAAATGTTTTGAAGAATAGTGACATGACAGTGTTTCTCATGCAAGCACTTGTAACTGGTCTTCCACAGGGTTCAAATTCCCACTCTGATCACTAGGGTCTGCTAACTGACCACTTGTTTAAGTAGATACTGGGACAGTAAAACAGGCAGATGCTTCTGTCACTCTCAAAAGATGTTCCTCATTTTTATCCAGGGTCATAGGATGACTCTTATGCTATGAATATGTAAAAATTACAGTTGAAAAAGCTAATCATTTCTTAAATGTTGTTTGACTACAGATCCCTTTGATAATCTCATATGAGCTTAGCATATTCTTACTAGGAAATTCTATGGATTCTGAGAATATTGTGCACAGAGCTTTGAGAGGTTTTGAAGCCCCTGAAATCAATCCATGGACCCCATGAACTCTTCAGTTAAGCTGTTCATGGTGAGAACTAAAGGATCAGGTTCATGCCGTGCATGCCTCTCTCTCTAACCTTCTTAGTGCGTTGGTTGACCTGCAGCAAGTCTTCAAATACTTTGGGAATCAGTAACTTCCCAAGGCTGGATTGGTGCTCCTATCTGTCAGGGGACTCCTGAGCACTAGTGGGAGACCTCTCAGGCCCTCTCTGCTCTGGCAGCAGCCACCTCTGCAGCTCTACTGCCCTCCCAACACTGTCTCTTATTTGTGTGTTTAGGAAAGAAGGCTTCCAGAACAACTGGGAATGCTGGACACACAGAGCTGGCTTCAGGTAACAATGGGCAGGTCTGTTCATCTCATCCAATGCAAGCAGCAACCTGTCTGACCACACTGGACTATTCGTGCATGGGGTCACTGCTGTCAGGCTGATCCTGTTTTTGGTTCTCTTACCTATAGTACCAGAATATTAAATATTAAAATATTGCTTTCAGACAGGGGGAGGGAGAGACAGAGAGAAAGGCCTTCCATCCACTGGTTCACTCTCCATATGGCCACAACGGCCAGAGCTGAGCCAATCCGAAGCTGGGAGCCAGGAGCTTCTTCTAGGTCTCACATGTGGGTGCAGGGGACCAAGCACTTTGGGCCATATTCCACTGCTTTCCCAGGCCATAAGCAGAGAGCTGGATTGGAAGAGGAGCAGCCGGGACACGAACCGTGCCCACAGGGATGCTGGCACCACAGGCAGAGGCTCAGTCCATTCTACTGAAGCTCCAGCCCCCTAAAATATCACTTTCCTTTAATAAATCATGCAGTTACCTGCTCTGCTGTCACAAGTAGATCTCTGAGCCGTATGGGTCTAGAGCCAGCTGTTTCGACAGGGAACCTGTATTGTGGGGAAAACTCAGGAAATGGCTTCACATCTGTCCATATTCTAGACTTAGAATCAAATTGTCCTCAGGACGAGGAGAGAATCGTTGCTTTGTGTGTTTGTGTGTGTTTCTGGGGGGGGGGGGAGAAGGAGGGAGGGAGGGAGGGAGAGAGAGAGAGAGAGAGAGAGAGAGAGAGAGAAATGAATCAGAGGAGGAGATTGCAAAGCTGTGGGGTCCATGCACACTTAGAAGGATCTTTCTTTCTTCCTTTCTTTCTTTCTTTCTGTCTTTCTGTCTTTCTTTCGCTGGCTTGCCTTCTTGCTACAGAAAGCTGGATTGGGGAAGTTCCCTTAGTTCCAGCAGGCACCAGAGGTTGAGTGGAGGATCGGAGGTTTATTAATGTCTCTTGGTCCAGTGGAATTGCTTCCCCAGGCGGAGCATCGTCAGCATCAAGCCTTAACCATTACAACATTGACGGGTTTGATTACAGCCTGCTTGACTTAGGACCACCCATGAGGAACTTGAGGCTACACTTATGGGGAACTTGAACAGAGGTTTACAGAAACTGAGATTAGGACGCCTGCCCAGACATGTTGACACCTATGAGGAACAGGGATTGGGCCATCTTCCCAGACATGTGGACAGCTATGGGAACTGGATCAAGGATTACAGAAAACAGAGATTAGGAAATCTGCCCTCCCCAGGGGCCTTATTTTTCTCCCTTGTCCCTGTCCCATTCTAATTTCCTCTTCACTGTGACCTGTGGCATGACTCTTACTCCTGCTGTTCGGCCTTTGGCATTGTCCCAGGGGCCCATCTTGCCTTAACAGTGCCTTAATAGTGCAGCCACACCAAATCACGCAGGCGGGATGTGTCACCACTGCTATCTCATTGGTACAGGTAGTGAGATTCTGTGAGAACACACAGTGGCAAAGGTTCACTCCGAGCACAGAGCACCAGGAACGTGAATATGACAGTCTAGGATGACAGATTTTCTACACTGCTCTACTTCCTGCCTCTTGCCCTTTCCTGGTCTGTGGTTACTGTGCGTAGGGACTGGCCATGGTCAGGGCTGAGGGAAGATGATTCAAGGGAGAGAAGGACCAGGTTGTGCCTGTGAGGGCTTGCAGTTGGGATAAATTAGATCTGCAAGGAGATTTGCAAGGTGTCAATCTTGCCTTACTTGCACAGTGCCTCTGTCTGAGTCCCTATCTAGTGGCTCCAAGCTGCTGCTTAGGCAGACAGCTCAGATGGACCATGTTCACTTACACTGGGTTCAGCCTCTGTCCCCTACTCTGGCTTCTTCTCTTTGATTCTCCCATCAGAAAATTCCTATCCTTCCTCTAGGAATCTCTGGATGGGACCCCTGGAAATTGACTTTAATATTCTAGTTTCATCACCCTTTCCATGACTTCCTGTTACCAAAGAGTAATTAATTGTTACTTGGTGTGGCATTTAAATATTCTCAGTCTTCTCTAGTTGTTTTTGTAGCATTCCAGAAATACTGTACTGAGTGAGTTAAGCTGAATAATTAGAGAGGCAGCAAGGCAGAATCAGGTAATTTTATGAAAACTAGATTAGGGATGGCATGTGGTCTCCGCATTTTTAAAGTAACCCATACTCGGAAATCCTTTCCCTGTCAAAGGATGGTACACAAATACATGCAATAGAGACAAGTTACCTGGAACAAAACTTACCCTTATTATGTATGATACACTATCTTCTATTCTGATCAATTACATTAAGAAAAAAGTCAGTTATCACCAAATTGATTTCATGGCCCATTTAATAGGTAGCAACTTGTTTGTGAAATACTGGCTTACTCAATGGGATTATATAAGTCGGATAAGGAATTCTACTTGCTTTGTATTCTCTACAAATCATAAAAATATTTTCTATTTATTAATTTGCATAAAATACACAAGAAATCTTTACAACAGTTCTGACCTTTTTTTTTTTTTGACAGATAGAGTTAGTGAGAGAGAGAGAGATAGAGAGAAAGGTCTTCCTTCCGTTGGTTCACCCCCCAAATGGCCGCTATTGCTGGAACTACACCGATCTGAAGCCAGGAGCCAGGTGCGTCCTCCTGGTCTCCCATGCGGGTGCAGGGCCCAAGCACTTGGGCCATCCTCCACTGCCCTCCTGGGCCACAGCAGAGAGCTGGACTGGAAGAGGAGCAACCAGGACTAGAGCCCGGCGCCCATATGGGATGCCGGTGCCACAGGCAGAGGATTAACCTAGTGAGCCATGGCGCCGGCCCCCTGATTATTATTATTATTATTTTTTTTTTTTAAATAATGCTTCACAGCTAACAAGCGGAGGCACTTAGATCCAGAACCAAGATTCCCAGCTGAGGACTGTTTCACCTTTACCGTGCTGCAGCTATTGTCCGGTTTGTACCTATCTAGTCTTCTTAACTTGGGTGGAAATGAAAAAAGTCTCAGAATGTACGGCTTGCTGGGTGCCCAGGAGGTGCTCAGTGAGTATATGAGAAACAGAATTAAATAACACTCTTTCAAAAGCAATGGTCTGATTTTGATATGGTGCTTTGGGGCATCTTTGTGCCAAAACATTATATCATGATTTATAATCATACTGTTTTCCTACACCATGAGTCACTGGTTTACGGGTTGCTCTGGAAAAGTTTCCCAAGCTTGTAGGGAATTCTTTAGTGAATAATGCAGGAGACACTGAGAGCTGGACACTATTTGGTCCCTGCTTATGGTTGAGATTTTTCCAGAGCTCCAGTAGAGTTTCATAAAGACCAAGCAGGAGAGTTTTTGTTTTTCTAGTTTCCTAAAACATCTGTTTTCCCTAAGGCTGAAATGGATAGGCCTGATTTCTGCTAGACCCTGAACGCATGATCAATGGTATGCTACAAGCATACACTCAACTTACGTTACCTTCAGGCTTTGCAGCCAAATACAGCATCCCTGGAGAAAAGACCACACTACATCTGTCCTAAGGTATATACACTGTGCATGAGGGCAGCCTAAGACTTGGCTCCCAACAGATAATGAATAATGGTCTATAATGGTCTGATGAATGAATATGAATATATGGATAAACAAAATCAAAGTGTGAAGACATGTTATTCATACACAGGCTTTCAGGACTTTGAATATGCATTTATGCGACCAGGAGGAGAAAACAATAACAAGCCTGTAGGACTTGGGAAAGAAAGGACAGGTGGGAAGGGGAATTGGGGGTTAGGAGGGGGAGCAGGAAAGGAGAAGGAAGAAAAAGGACAGGAGGAAGCATCTGGCTGGGTAAGCGAAGGCAGGCCAGCAGCTCTGAATGTTGATTGCAATCACTGTTAGCTCTAGCATCATCTTTATCTTACCTGCTACTCTGTATTCTTTGTTGGATTCAAAGTACATGCTCTGTGTGATGAAAATCCCCCTGTTTACTCACTCTGCCTGGCCCAGTTTTAAAAGGCCTGTTTAACCATCTCAGGATGTTTCTTGTCACCGAGATACTTCTGAGTTTAGCAAAGGGATTGGGGAAGCAGTGCTGTGATGGCTTCCTAAATCCAGTTTGCAGCACGAACTTACAGATAAAGGAAGCCTTCCCTACTATTGAGTCAAACAGAATCCTCTGAGCAGGAGGAAATCAGGTAATGTTGCAATGACAGGGCTCGCCTTTAGAGCTCATGTTTGATGAGGTTTCTGGAAGAGAAAAACATTCTTTCCAAAACTCAGGTCGGAAGGCTCTCCGCACTTTGGTTTCCCAATCCAGTATCTGCAATGTCAGACAGAACTAAGGCCCTGGCCCCACATGCAGTAGTCATCAGCGAATATCTCTTCACTCTCCTGGGGACTGAGCTCTCTCACAACACCTTTGTGAATTACCCCTTCATGTTGAAACAAGAACATGAAGTCTGTGCTAATGGATTGAGCCTGTGGTTCTGAGAAGACTGGACCCATGCAGGTGCCCTGGAGAAGCAGTAAGGTTCCGAGCACTGCCACGGGGCCAGGCTCGTGGATCTGAAATTGGCTCAGCCACCAGGTATGTAAGTTCCCTACTCTTTCATTGTCTCTATATGAAAATGAAATAAGATAGTCTCGTCTCATAAGGATAAATGTTAATACAAGCAATGCACTTATAATAGTGCTTGCATGAGCAGGCATACATTGAAGTGTAAGGATGTAATAAAAGAAATATTTGTTTGCCAAACTCAAAATTTATTTTGGTGATTTGCTTCTTTTTTTTATTGTAAAAGACCAAAGGTTTCAAGAATTGTAGAATGTCAGAACTGAAATGAACTTTTATTCCACAGATTTGTAAATGAGACCCAGAGAGTTGAGTTTTCAAAGCTACCGATGCCAGGTGATAAATTTTGCATCTAGAAACCAAGTTTCCTGCTTCTGGACCACGTGCTTTAGCTGCAGGAGGGCGCCCAATGCTGTAAGAACGATGCTAGACACTGAAACCGCAGTAGCCTGACTTTGCCCGGAGCTCCTTTGGCACTGCAAAGGCAATCTTAGACTATTTCATTCATTCATTCGTACACCCACTCCACCACTGATTTGCTGTCCTTAGAAATAGTTCTTGTTTTTAAATGACCTCAACTGCAATTGGAGCAATAAAATATGCAGAGGTAACATTATACAATCACTTGCACAATGTTAAAAGTGTTAGAGGGCTTGGGCATCTGCTATATATCCAATAATAACCCCAAGAGAGTTTATGATAAAGTTAGTTAATTTATGAATGACTGAAATGAATGAAGCCAAGCAAGGAAAAAGATGCATGGAACACTTTGGATATTCAAATAAACAAAGCATAATACCTGGCTAGAAATCAGGAGAGTGTTCATAGAACATGGAGTTAATAGTATTAGATGTGGACCCTGAAACATGATGGTAAGAGAATTAGAATAAAACTCTTCCTCTCCCACCCATGAAGAATTTATTTTATTTTTTTGAAGTTTAATTTTATTTGAAAGGCAGAGAGATGGGGACGCGGAGAGGAGAGAGGACGGGGGGTGGGGGGGAGAGAGAGAGAGAGCGAGCTTGTATTTGCTGAATCACTCCCAAATGGGTGCAACAACTGGGGCTGCCAGGCCAGGAATCTAGATCTCCATCTGAGTGGGTCCAATCTTCCTGGGCTATCATCCATTTCTTTCTCAGGTACGTCAGCATGGAGCTGGATTGGAAGTGGAACAACTGGACTCTTGGGACTTGAAAGGGCACTCTGATAAGGGATGCTGGCATTACAATGGCTTAATTCACTATGCTAGCCCTGAAAAATTACTTTTTAAAATATAAACATAACCATATTTGAGGGGTCTTCAAAAAGCTCATGTAAAAACATTATTATAAAAAACTATGCACAGATTTAGGCCAGCGCTGTGGCTCACTAGGCTAATCCTCTACCTGTGGCGCCGGCACCCCAGGTTCTGGTCCAGGTTGGGGTGCAGGATTCTGTCCCGGTTGCTCCTCTTCCAGTCCAGCTCTCTGCTGTGGCCCGGGAGGGCAGTGGAGGATGGCCCAAGTGCTTGGGCCCCTGCACCTGCGTGGGAGACCAGGAGGAATCACCTGGCCTTTGGCTTTGGATCGGCGCAGGGCGCCAGCCGTAGCAGCCATTTGGGAGGTGAACCAACGGAAGGAAGACCTTTCTCTCTGTCTCTCTCACTGTGTAATTCTGCCTGTAAAAAAAAAAAAAAAAACTATGCACAGATTTCAAAATATTTTTGAACTAAAATATACTTGTCTTTAAAAATTTATTAAAATGAGAACAAATTTGATATATTTCATAGGTGCAATTCTAAGAAGACAACCAATCATATTTCCTTCCTTCTTTCCTTCCTTCCTTCCTCCCTTCCCTACCCTTCCCTTCCCTTCCCTTCCCTTCCCTTCCCTTCCCTTCCCTTCCCTTCCCTTTCTGCCTTTCTGCCTTTCTGCCTTTCTGCCTTTCTTCTTTTTCTTTCTTTAATTTTTGAAAAATATAATTTCAATCCACTCTATATAGAACCACTGGCTTAATTCAACACTAAGCACAATATTCAACAAGTATAAAGACCACAGTTCCACAGACGTATAAACAAGAGCTAAAAACAATTAAATCACAAAAGTCTGTTTTGTTAATTTACAGTTTTTTTTTGTATTCTGTATTAACTACTTCAGATAGGAGAAAACATGATATTTGTCTTTTGAGGCTGTCTGATTTCATTAAGCATGATGATTTCCAGTTGCATCCATTTTGATGCAGAAGACAGGATTTCATTCCTTTTCATGGCTGAGTAGTATTCCATAGTGTATATATACCACTTTTTGTTTCTCTGGTTGACAGCTGATGGACATCTGGATTAACTTCCATATCTTAGCTAGGGTGAATTAAGCTGAAATAAACATGGGGGGACAGAAAACTGTTTCATATGCTGATTTCAATTCCTTTGGGTAAATTCCCAAAATGGGATGGCTATGTTGTGTTGCAGAACTCTTTTCAGATTTTTGAGGAACTTCCATACTGTCTTCCATAATGGTTGTACCAGTTTATATTACCACCAATTGTGTATTAGTGTACCTTGTGTCCCACATCCTTGTCAGCATTTATTGTTTTTTGATTTTTGGATGATAGCCATTCCAACTTGGGTGAGGTGAAATTTCATTGTGGATTTTATTTGCATTTCCCTAATGGCTAGTGAAGCTGAGCATTTTTTTCATGTCTGTGGCCATTTGAATTTCATCCTTTGAAATATGCTTGTTAAAGTCCTTTGCCCATTTCTTTTTTTAATTTTTTATTTGACAGGTAGAGTCACAGACAGAGAGAGAGAGACAGAGAGAAAGGTCTTCTTTCCATTGATTCACCCCCTAAATGGCCACCACAGCTGGAGCTTCTCCGATTCGAAGCCAGGAGCCAGGTGATTCTTCCTGGTCTCCCATGCAGATGCAGCGGCCCAAGCACTTTGGCCATCCTCCACTGCCTTCCTGAGCCACAGCAGAGAGCTGGACTGGAAGAGGAGCGACTGGGACTAGAACCCGGCACCCATATGGGATGCTGGCGCTGCAAGCGGAGGATTAACCAAGTGAGCCAAGGTGCTGGCCCCAGTCGTTTGCCCATTTCTTAACTGGATTGTTTGTTTTGTTGTTTAGATTCTTGAGCTCTTTATAGATCCAGAATATTAGTCTTTTATCAGTTTGATAGTTTTTAAATATTTTCTCCCATTCTGTCAGTTGCCTCTTCACTGTGTTGAGTGCTTCCTTTGCAGTGCAGAAGCTTCTCAGCTTTATGTAATCCCATTTGTAAATTTTTATGTTTATTGCCTGCACTTCTGGGATGTTTTCCAAGAAGTCTTTGCCTATACCTATGTCTTGCAGAATTTCGCCAGTGTTTCCCTTTAGTAATTTCATGGTCTCAGGTTGTATATTTAGATCTTTGATTCACTGTGAGTTGATTTTCACATAAGGTCTAGTAGAGGACAGATTTTGTTTCATACTTCTGCTTGTGTAGAAGCTAGCACCATTTATTGCAGATATTGTCCTTTCTATAGAGATTGATTTTAGCTCTTTTGTCAGAGGTTAGTTGGTTGTTTTGGATTTCTCTTCTGTTCTATTTGTCTACGTTTCTATTTTTTGTGCCAGTACCAGGCTCTTTTGATTATAACTGATCTGTAGTATATTTTGAAATTTGGTATTGTGATGTCTCCAGCTATGTTTTTGTTGTATAAGATTGCTTTAGCTATTCATGGTCTCTTTTGTTGTCATATTCATTTTAACATTGTTTCTTCTGAATCTGAGAACAATGCCCTTCATATTTTGATTGGAATCACTCTGAATGTGTAACTTGCTTTTGGTAGTATGCATATTTTGATATTGGCATTGATTTTAAATCTGTGGACATTGAAGATTCTTCCAAGTATGTGTCTTTTGTATTTCTTTAATGTTTTGTCATTTTGATTGTAGAGATCTTCCACAGTGCTTGTTAAATTATTTCCAAAGTATTTAAATTTTTTTTGTAGCTACTGTGAATGGTACTGATCTTACAAGTTCTTTCTCAGCCATGGCATTGTTTGTGTATACAAATGCTATTAATTTTTGTGTGTAGATTTTATGTCCTGGAACTTTACCATACTCTCTTATGAGCTCCTATAATCTCTTAGTGGAGTCTTTTGGTTCCCCATACATATGATCATATCATCAGCAAACAGGGATAATTTGACTTCTTCCTTTCCAATTTGTATCCCTTTGATTTCTTTTTCTTGCCTAATAATTCTGGCTAAAACTTCCAAAACAATATTGAATAGCTATGGTGAAGGCTGGCATCCTTGCCTCATTCTAGATCTTAGTGCAAATGCTTTCAACTTTTCTCCATTCAATAAGATGCTGGCTGTGGGTTTGTTACATATTGCCTCGATCATGTTGAGGAATGTTCTCTCCATACCAATTTGCTTAAGGTTATCATCATGGAAGGATATTGTGTTTTATCAAATTCTTTCTCTGCATCTATTGCAATAATTATATGGCTTGTATGCTTCAAGTTGTTAATGTGATGTATCACATTTATTGATTTGCTAATGTAGAACCGTTTGTACATACCAGGGATAAATCCCGTTTAGTCCTGTTGAATGATGTTTGTGATGTGTTGTTGGATTCGATTAGCTAGTATTTTGCTTGAGGATATTTGTATCTATGTTCATCAGTGATATTGGTCTGTACTTCTCTTTCTTTGTTGTATTTTTTTCTGGTTTTGGAATTAAGGTGATACTGGCCTCATAAAAGGAGTTTGGAAGGATTCCCTCCCTTTTGATTGTTTTGAATAGCTTGAGAAGAATTAGAGTTAGTTGTTTGAAAGACTTTTCTTTAAAAGTCTGGTAGAATTCAGCAGTGAAGCCATCCAGTTCTAGGCTTTTATTTGTTGGGAGGGTCTTTATTACAGATTCAATTTCCCTTTGGTTTTTGGTCTGTTTAGGTTTTCTATGTCTTCATGACTAAATTTTGGTAAAGTTTTTGTGTTCAGGAATCTGTGCATTTCTTATAGATATTCAAATTTGTTGGCATATAACTATTTGTAGTAATTCTTGATGGTTCTTTTTACTCCAGTGGTATTCATTATTACATCTCCTTTTTCCTCTCTAGTTTCATTAACTTGGGTCTTCTCTCTCCCCATTTTTTTTGGCTAGCTGGGCCAGTGGTGTTTATGTCTTATTTTTTCAAAAAACACAAGCTTATTTCACTGATCTTTTTTATTTTTGTTTCAATTTTGTTTATTTCTTCTCTAATTTTGATTATTTCTTTTTTCCTACTAATTTGGGGGTTGGTTTGTTGTTTTTCTAGGTTATTGAGATATATTGGCAGCTCATTTATATGTTGACTATCCAATTTCTGATGTAGGTAGGCCACCAATTGATATAAACTTACCTCTTAACACTGCTTTTGCTATTTTGCTATTTTGTCTGTTGTACTGTCATCTTATTCATTTTCAGGGATTTTTTTTATTTCCCCTATGACCCACTGGTCATTCAGGAGCATGTTGTTCAGTCTCCACATGTTTGCATATTTCTAGAGATTCTTAATTTGTTTATTTCCAGCTTTGTTCCATTGTGATCAGAAAAGATGCATATTGTGATTTCAGTTTTTTTTTTTTTTTTAATTTTGCTGAGACTTGCTTTATGGCCTACTATCTGGTCTATCCTAGAGAAACTTCCATGCATTGATGAGAAGAATGAGTATTCTTCAACTGTGGGATGAAAGGTTCTATGGGGGTGCCCAGCTCCCTGTCAACCCTCCCAGGTAGACTCAAAGTCAGTGGGGCATGCAGGTTTTGCCCTCTGATAAAATCTGGTTACACATGCACACAGAGCTGCCACAGTTCTACTGGTGTCAGAATCGCCCCTTTTCCCTGCTGTTGCTGGGCACCCTTTTGGGGGACGGGGAGAAAGAAATGTACTTTTCTTGCACTGGATTAGGCAGGTGCCCCACCCCTGCTGGGGCTCCAGGCTGGACTTAAAGGCAGTAAGATCTGCGAAGTTCCCCTTGAGCGATATCACCAGTGGCATGGACAGCTGCAGTGTGTTCTCACCTTGTTCTCTTCCAGTTCCTGGCTGTGGGGGTTGTGTGTGGTTCTCCACTCCTTGTTGTGCATCCAGACCTTGCATGGTGCACCCCCCCAGGTGTCCCTCTTCCTTCAGTAGAATTCACACTGCGATGTTTGCTCCAGCTCTCCCCTGGGAATGCATCTCCTCCACTTTTCCTCTGCTGTTCCCCTCATCTAGAGCAGCACATCTTCTCCCTAGTCCGCCATCTTGGAACCCCCCCCAAATTCTATATTGAGTATTTAGATACAGTTCTGACACCTCAATAATCTATTTTTTGAATTTCATTTTTCATTAGCACATACTAATACATTTTATGGATATTGTTAAGTATTTTACATGTATATAGCATAAACTGATCAAGTGAAGTACATAGCATTTATATTTCCTAATATTTTCTTTATATTTGGAGCTCCTCTCTCCTAGTTCTTCATACAAGTATGTAAGACATTATTTTGAACTATAAACATATTAATAATACCTTGTTTTAAAATCAATGATCTCAGGCACTGTGGCTCACTAGGCTAATCCTCTGCCTGCGGTGCCGGCACCCCAGGTTCTAGTCCCGGTTGGGGTGCTGGATTCTGTCCCGGTTGCTCGTCATCCAGTCCAGCTCTCTGCTGTGGCCTGGGAGTGCAGTGGAGGATGGCCCAGGTTCTTGGGCCCTGCACCCCATGGGAGACCAGGGGAAGCACCTGGCTCCTGGCTTCGGATTGGCACAGTGCGCCGGCTGTAGTGCACTGGCCGTGGTGGCAACTTGCGGGGTGAGCCAACAGAAAAAGGAAGACCTTTCTCTCTCTCTCTCTCTCTCTCTCTGTCTCACTAACTCTGCCTGTAAAAAAAAAAAAAAAAAAAAAAAAAAAAGAAGGAAAGAAAAAGAAAGAACCAATGATCATGGAATATCTTTCCATTCATATAGATCTTTGGTTTCTTTCATCTGAATGTCTAATTTTCTGCTTCATGATCCTGTACTTACTTTGTTAGATTCATTTCATTTTTGGATGCTATTTCAGATAAAATTATTTAAAAATATTTTAATTCCACTTGTTCATTGCTGGTTAATAGGAAAGCACTTGACTTTTGTATGTTAGGATATTAGTCATGTATCCTGAAAACTTGCTCTAATTGCTTTTAAGTTCCAGGAGATATTTTTGTGGATTACTCAGTAGTTTCTACATAGACAATCATGTCATGGAGAGATGAAACCTGCTGTCTGCTTGAGTGGGTGACCCTGATTCTACTCCAGGTCTTACAAAGAAATCCCTGGGATATTTTATCTTAATTAAAAATGGACTATCAGCTTGAAAATGAGATTCTGGGGTCACATGTTTGACCTAATGGTGCTAGTGGTTAAGACACTCGTATAAGAGTACCTGGATTTGAGTCCCAGCTCTGCTCTTGATTCTAGCTTCCTATTAATGTGGGAGACAACAGGAGATGGCTTCAATGGTTGGATCCCTGTCACCTATACAGGAGACCCTGGTTAAGTTTCCAAACCCCAGCTTTGGCCTAGCCCAATCCTAGTCATTGTAGGCATTTATTGAGTGAACCAGCAGAGGGTCTCTGTCTCTGAGATAAACAAATAAATTAAATTCTAAAATAGGTTGTTTAACATCTGTTCAGTCAGAAACAAAAAACTGGGCAGGCAATTTTCCCTTCTACAAAACTGTGCTTATGCATGCAGAGGTGACGTGAAGTGGGTATTTGCATCCCCAATTCCACTGCTCCAATTCAACTGTTGAAGCCTTAACCCACAAAATGGTAGTATCTGTAGATGTGACCTTTGGTGGATAATTAGGGTTAAATGAAGTCATGCGGGGGGGCCCTCAAGATGGGAGTGGTGTCCTTACAGAGAAGGACATCATAGAGTTTATTCTCTCCCCATGCTTCCGTAAGAGGTCAGGTAAACACAATGGGAAGGGACCATCTGCAAGCCAGGATGACAGCTTTCACCAGGCTTGACCATGCTGGCACCCTGGTCTTACCTTCCAGCCTCCAGACCTGTCAGGAGGTAAATTTCTGTTGTTTAAGCCAGCCAGTCTATGCTATTTTGTTAAGATAGCCCAAGGAGATTAAGACAAATTAAGATACGTCCATGGCACCATTGTATGTTGGAAATACATAATATGTCTGTCTTCACAGGTTCATAATTAGAGAGTAATTATATTTATTTATTTATTTGACAGATAGTTAGAAAGTGAGAGAGAGAGACAGAGAGAAAGGTCTTCCTTCCGTTGGTTCACCCCCCAAATGGCCGCTACGGCTGGAGCTATGTTGATCCGAAGCCAGTAACCAGGTGCTTCCTCCTGGTCTCCCATGTGGGTTCAGGGGTCCAAGCACTTGGGCCATCCTCCACTACCCTCCTGGGCCACAGCAGAGAGCTGGACTGGAAGAGGAGCAACTGGGACTAGAACCCAGCACCCAAATGGGATGCTGGTGCCACAGGCGGAGGATTAATCAGGTGAGCCACGGCGCCAGCCCCTAGAGAGTAATTTCATCTCAGGATGAATCCTTTGGTCTTACCTACATTTGATATAGATATGACTTTGGACTTTAGAATCAATGCTGCAATGAATTAAGACTTCTGGGGTTGGAATGGAATGAGTATGCATTTTGCATCTGAGAAGCACATGAATTTCGGGGGGCAGGGTGTGGAATGTTAGGGACTGAGTGTTTTGTCCTCTCCCCTCCTGTCAATCATACATTAAAGCTGTGACTTTCAGTGTGATGGATTTTGGTGATAGCACCTTTGGAAGATAATTAAGGTCAGATGATGTCACAAGGGTGGGAACATTTTCAGAAGTGACACCGGATAGCTTTCTCTTCTCTCCCTCTCCTTTCTTCCCTTCCTTCCTGCACACATGCACACAAAGAAGTCAAGTGAGCACACAATGAGATGGCAGCTGCTTAAAAGCCAAGCAAAGAGGCCTCAGAACGAGGTCTGCCAGCACCTTCATCCTGGACTTCCCAGTCTCCACAGTTATGAGAAATAAACTTGTTTCTTTTTATAATCATAGAGTCTACGGTATTTTGTTATGACATGCCAAGCTCATGAGAAAGGAGGTAATATTTATTAAGTGCCAACTATATGTTAAGTACTGGGCCTCATTTAAACTTCGGAAAAAAAGCAGGAGGTAAATTATCAGTATTTCCAGTTTTCCAATGAGGAAGGAAAAGCTCAGCATCACAGTTAGTAAGTTAGGGCAGATAGTATATTGTCTTCTGCCCAAAGGACTGTGCCAATCTAGTCTCTCACCAACAGCCCCCATCCATTACCCACTTCCATGACTAGCCTCCGATCTTCTAAAAACTCCATGATAGGCCCATCTCACTGTAAGCTCTTGATCTCATTCCTTCCTTTTCTAAGCTAATGGCTAAAACTGGTGACAGCTTCTGAATTTGATATAAAATATTGGCTTTGAGTCTTCAATGCCAGCATGTACATAGCAACATGACTTTTTTTGATGGCTGTAGTTTATATTATCACATGTGCATCCCTCTTATAAGCACCATGTTTATTAAGCTAACCCCTATGCTCCATGAAGCATGTTTAGGTTGGAGCAAAACCTTCGCTATTGAAAAACAAAACAGGGAGTGGATGCTTGGCTTAGCAGATAAGATACCACTTGGGGTACCTGCATACTGTATTGGAGTCCCTGGGTTTGAGTTCTGCCTAGACATCTGATTCCAGCTTCCTGCCTACATATGCCCTGGGAGGTAACAGTTGATGGTTCAAGTACTTGGATCCCTGCCACCTATGTGGGAGATCTGGATTGAGTTCTAGCCTCTGGTTTCAGTGTGGCTCAGACCAAACTGTTATAGCCATTTGGGAAATTAACTGGTAGATGGGAGATTTCTCTCTCCCTCTCCCTCTCCCTCTCCCTCTTACACTCTCTCTGTTTCTCTTACTTTCAAATAAATTAAAAATATGTAAAATTTTAAAAGCACCAACAAGAATATTTAAATGTGGGGAGCAACTGGGAGCAACTCGGACTAGACTAAGTTACTGGAATTAAGACTTATTCTATGCATCTGCTTTCCCACAATATGGCGCTGAGAAGGGAAACAGCTTCTACACAGCTGCCTCCAGTTCAACCAATAAACTGTGGGACCTGCTCCTGATTGGAGGAGAGCAGCGTACTCGGCGTGTGGGTAGCAGAGTTGGGATTGGTGGAAGAGGACTATAAAGGAGGAGAGAGACGGCATGCACCAGGAACATCTAAGAGGAACACCTGTGCAGCCCCCGAGAGAGCCGGCTGGCGGTGTGCTGCTCCCCTGCGGAAGTGGGGAATGTGGCAGGGGGAACCGCCCTTCCACGGAGGTGGAAGGGATGGTAGCCAATCCGGGAAGGACCAGCAGCCAACCCGGGAAGGGTCAGTAGCCAACCCGGGAAGAACCAGCAGCAAACCCGGGGAGGGCCGAGCAGACGAAAGAACAGCTCAGGGTCCTGTGTCGTTCCTCCACGAAGACGGGGAGCGACATTTAAATAATGTTATACCCAGTATATTTGTCTTTGTGGCCCTGTGCGAACCAATTGGTAGAATACATTACCAGGAGAACTGATAGCTCAGAAGCCATATCAATTTTCTATATTTCTTGTAAGTCTTCCCTATTTAAAAATTTTCCATGTTTTCTTCTATTGTTTCTAAGATGTAAGATTTTTTTTTTTTCATTTACTTTTTGGTTCCACCAGAAGTTTATTTTGGCATAAAGACTAGTGAAATGTCCTACCTTTTTTTTTTTTTTTTTTGCTAACAGCTTTTATTGAAATGTCAATTTTTTTCTTCATTGATTTAAAATACTGCTTCTATTGTATGTAAAATCTTTGTGTATACTGGTCTCCTCTGGACTGTTCATACTAATTTCAAACTGTTAAATGTTCACATAGCAGAGTGCTAAGGTGCAAGGTGCTGGAATCAGAGTGCCTGAAGTCAAATCCTAACTCCGTGATCTACAAAGTAGATGAGTTGGGGCTAGCTACAAAAAATGGCTTTGCTGTTTAGCTTTCTTATCTCTGAAAAGATAAGATGTCAAACTACTATTGGCTATTGGCTTCCTTACCTAAATCCAGACTTTGAGGGTGGGTAGAAAAGAGAATGTAGATGAAGAATCTTAATTATACTCAGAAAGTAACCAAAATCCATGAGGAATCTTGGGAAACAGATGCCAGGTAACAGTGACTTGGAGAGGTGCAAAATCAAGTGCAATCTTTTTTATCTTTTTTAAAATGTTTATTTTTATTTCATTTTATTTCTTGCTTTTATGGATTTTTCAAAAATTTTATTTAAGTTATACAATTTCATGTATTTCATATATACAGATTTTGGAACATAGTGACATTTGCCCCCACACCCCCTCCTACTATGCTTCTGTCCATCTTCCTCCCTCTCACATTCCCACACTTACTTTTTTTTTTTATGTTTTGACAGTCAGAGTGGACAGTGAGAGAGACAGAGAGAAAGGTCTTCCTTTTGCCGTTGGTTCACCCTCCAATGGCCGCCACGGCTGGCACTCTGCGGCCGGCGCACCGCGCTGATCCAATGGCAGGAGCCAGGTGCTTCTCCTGGTCTCCCATGGGGTGCAGGGCCCAAGGACTTGGGCCATCCTCCACTGCACTCCCTGGCCACAGCAGAGAGCTGGCCTGGAAGAGGGACAACCGGGACAGAATCTGGCGCCCTGACCGGGACTAGAACCTGGTGTGCCAGCGCTGCAGGCGGAGGATTAGCCTATTGAGCCGAGGCGCCAGCCTCCCACTCTTACTTTTTACAAAGATCTGTTTTTAGTTTACTTAATGATCATATTGTTAACCACACACTAAGTAAAAGATTTCAACAGATAGTATGAATAAGAAGGAAAATAAGAGAAAAAAATTCCCACTCTTCCTCAATGGAAGAGATAAGGGCTTTAAACAATCTCGAATCTCAAAGGCAGAGTTATGAGGTGGGGGAGACAGAGAAAGAGGTCTTGCATCTGCTGGTTCACTCCCCAAATGGCTACAAAGGCCAGGTAGGAGCCAGGAGCCAGAAACTTCATCTGGGTCTCCCATGTGGGTGCAGGGGCCCAAACATTTGGACAATCTTCCGAGGCTTTCTCAGGCACATTAGCAGGGAGCTCAATTGGAAGTGTGGCAGCAAGGACTCCAACCTGAGCCCAAATGGGATGCGGGTGCTGCAGGTGGCAGCGTAACCTGCTATTCCACATTGCAGGCCCCAAGATGAACACTTAGGAGGAAGCCTGGGGTGGAGAGGGAGGCAGGGTTCTAGTTTTACCCTGTTTTATTGCTCATGTTGATCTAGGTGGAGCCTGATCTGAGAGGTGAGATTAGGAGACTGAAATTGGTTTGGAATGGAATTACGTATCCCTAATTCAAATTTGTAAGTATGGTCTGAATTTTTCGTTCTGCATGAGGAATATAGGGTGTTCAGAGCCTCACAAAATATGGGCATCAAAACACAAAGCAAATAATAGTATAGCTGAAGTAGTATGAGGGTACTTAAAAATATTCAAAACTAGAATTGAACTATAAGTTAATTTTAGTGCAAAAATTTGAAATCCTTGGATATAATGAGCCTTCAAATGGTTCACAGACAAAGCATATTAGGAAAAAACTATGTATGGTTTTCAAAATTTTTTTGCACTAAAATGAACTTATCTTTTAATTCCTTATTCCCACAAACCTTGTTGACATGTCCTCATGTACGATGACGCTGGGACCGCCAGGATCACTCTGTCCTTGTTGTTTTCCCAAGGAAGAACAAGGCAGCATTAGCTGGAGGCAGCAGGATCTTGCTGAAGGCTCATGGATGGGTGATTGCCACTAAGGTAAGTGAAATATTCAGGTTCCACGGCTGGCAGGTGGCCAACTCACTATTGGAATGTGATTTTTTTTTTCACTATAAAAACTGGGTTCTTTCTGCTATATAAGCTTTTCTATTAGTAATGTCAACAATACCAGCTTTCCCATTACATTCTAATACAGAACACATTTGTACCTTAAAGTAGTTCTTTTGAGTAATAATCAATGCAATAAAAATCTAAAAATGTTTGATCAAAGGTACAGAATGTTGAGAGAGGGAGATATTTAGTTGCTTGATATTTTCACATTTCTGGATAAATGTGCTTTGTGGACAAGTAAGTTGAAAGCTTGGTAAACTAATTAGAGACTTTATGGAGAGAATGTGAGAGAGAAACAGCGAATGAGCGAGAGCGAGCAACTCTGATGGAAAACATTACTGAAATACAGCCAGAAAATTTCCATTGTCTAGTCCACTGAGCATTGTTTAGTCAAAATCTTTTTATTGAAAGCATAAGAAATCAAATTAGTATTCTATAGTGTATATAGACCACATTTTCTTTATCCAGTCATCAGTTGATGGACATCTGGGTTGATTCCATATCTTAGCTATTGTGAATTGATTTGCAATAAACATGGGGATACAAATAACTCTTTCATATGGTAATTTCATTTCCTTTGGGTAAATTTCCAGGAGTGGGATGGCTGACTCATATGGTAGATGTATTTTCAAATTTCAGAGGAATCTCTGTACTGTCTTCCATAATGGCTGGATGAGTTTACATTGCCACCAATAGTGTACTACTCAGCCATAAAAAAGAATGAAATCCTGTACTTTGCAGCAAAATGGATGCAACTAGAAACCATTAAACTTAGTGCAATAAGCCAGTACCAAAAAGACAAATATCATATGTTTTCTCTGATATGTGGAAGTTAATATAGAGTACAAAAATGCATAGGAATGAAATGGACATCTTGTGATTTGATTGTTGTTCTTAGCTCTTGTATGTATTTCTGTGGAACTGTGGTCTTTCCATTTTTTACTTGTTGAATGTTATGGTTAGTGGTGTTTTAAACCTGTGGTTATAGACTGGACTTAAATTATGTTTATGCAACAGATAAAAAGGAAGGAAGGGAGGGAGGGAGGAAGGAAGGAAGGAAGAAATTGAGGGAGGTAGAGTGGGAAAGAGGGAAATATGTTATCTCCTTAGAATTGTACTTATGAAATACTTGAAATCTGTTCTCTTTAGATTAATAAAAATTTAAAAATCAAATTAGGCTAGATTATCAAAAAATTAATTTTCTAGAAGAAAACTGAGTATTCTGTGGGCTCCAGGAAATATTTCAACAGTTGGTTCAAAGAAGCTTCCCAACTCAATAGCAAGAGTGCACAGATCTTTCATTTTGAGTCCCACCACTAACATGAGGGCTCTTCAAAAAGTTCATGGAAAATGTGTATTATGAAACAATTATTCTGGAATTTTTTGCACCATAATAAATTTCTCTTTTAATTCCATTTTATGCCATCTTTTTAAAGTAGCCTTGTGCAAGTTAACTACAAATCCTTAATCTTTGTATTTGTCCCAAGAGAGAATATAAGGTGATGCTAGCTTAGGTCAGACATCCACCACTGACCTCTACAGAAGGGAAGAGGCACACGGTGTGCAATAGTACCTATGGCTGACTTTCTGCTCCCAGATGGTCACTGCAGTCTCAGGTGCCACAGAGGTTAGAGATACTATGGGTCAGCTGCCTTTTCCAGATGATGGCATTTGAGGGAATTTAAGCAACTCAATCAATAGTCCGTGCAAGGCTTTGAATCGAGGTATGAATCAAGACTCCAAGAGGTGTCTGCTTTGGTCCTTCTTTCCCTTATTTCCTTGGGTATCACCTTTTTCTCGATTCTTACTTAGATCTGACACATTGTAGGGGACTTCTTTTTTTTTTTAAGATTTATTTATTTATTTGAAAGGCAGAGTTACACACAGAGAGAAGGAGAGGCTAAGAGAGAGAAAGAGAGAGAGAGAGAGTCTTTCATCTGTGGGTTCACTCCCCAATTGGCCGCAATGGCCAGGGCCACACTGATCCGAAACCAGGAGTCAGGAGCTTCTTCCGGGCTCCCACATGGGTGCAGGGCCATCTTCCACTGCTCTCCCAGGCCAGAGCAGAGAGCTGGATCAGATGTGGAGCAGCCGGGGACTCACACCCATATGGGATGTAGGCACTGTAGGCAGCAGCTTTACACAGAACACCACAGTGCCGGCCCCATGCAGGACTTCTAATTGGCTCGATTGATCCTGAACTCACCACAAGAGATCTCCCCTAAACAGTTATGACTGTGCCATTCTTGTAATTCAATTCACAATTTCAAATGGTTTCCCACTGTTTATAGGCGAGATTCCTCATGATAAATACTAACTTGTGCTGATTATCCAGGAAGTATCCATAAGAAATCAGAATTATTGGGGCCTGTTTTCTGTTAGGGTAAAATTGAGGGATTAACTGAGCACCAGATAATCTCTTGAACTCCTATGCACACCAAAGTTTTCAAGGCCCTATAGCATTTGGCTTCAAGTTATCTTGCGAGCCTCATTTCTTGCACTCCATGATATAAACCTACCTTTACGTTTCCATATAGTCATACAGTTTTGCCATTAGAAGTATATTTTCATATCATTTCAGAAAGCATCTAGTTCACTATACAGGACCAAAGAGCTCTTTTATTCTCCTCAAATGAATTTGTCAATGCAGCTCTTAATATTCCATAAGGTATCATTGATTTGGTAATTTAATGAAAATATTTATATACAAATATTCCACTAAAATATGAATGCTAGACACCAACAATTTTATTCAGCCATAGATGTAATCTTAGAATAAAATATGGTGAAAACACACAAATGAGTAGAACATAAGAATATACTAGACAAGCATGTACAATGGAGGAATTTGATTATGTATGTCTCTAGAGATAAAATTTCATTGGAATTATCTTCTCCCCATCTTGTTTTATTTCAAAGGCCTTTCATATAGTTCCATGCTTTTTTATGTTGGAAGTTTATCACTAAATATAACTCTTATAATCTTAATTACATTTTTTAAAAATAAGATTTGAAATAATGGAATACAACCAATCATTGCAAAATGTCACAAAATTCTAAACTCTACTGGATGCTTATGAGCTCAGTCATCCTAGATAGTTGCTTTCTGTATAGCTATTCTTGTTAACAGCAGCATTTTTATTTACTTGTCATTTCAAAGGAAATTAATTATTCAATAATGAGTATGTTTTTATCAGAGAATAATGAAAATTATCAATATTCTTTTATGGTTGAAGATCTTCATTAACCTGTTCTCTTTATTCCATAATCATTTACTGAACAGGTATTAAACAAAGTCAACTACATAGGCTCTATATAGGACTGAAATTCTTTCATTTTTGTTTCTAGGTAATTTAAAACTTCAATATTGATACTCCCTTTAACCAATGAATTATTTAAAAGTGGCTTAAAATATGCTTGACTTATGTTTAAAATAAATTAAAGCAATTTTTTTTTTATTACTTGCGAGAAGGAGAGAGGAAGAGAGAGGATGAGAGAGAGAGTGAGTGAGCACGTTCCGTCCTGCATTGCAGTCCCCAGATGCTGCAGCCCTCCATGGTTGGCAAAGACCTAACTACTTGCATCATCACCTGATGTAAGAAGCTGGAATCAAAAGCCAAGCTAGAACAAAAACCCAGGTACCCTGATACGGGACATGGGGATCCCAACCAACAGGCATTCACCATGAGGCCAAATGCCACCCCAAACAAATTTTTACAAATATTTCAGAATGTTATGTAACTTTCTAAAGAATTATTTAACAATATAATATGCATTTTTGATACTTTTTAGTGTCTTTCGCTTCAAATTCTGTTTTGCCTAATATTGATGGTGCTGTCACAACTCTCTGTTAGTGCTTGCTAGGTATAGATTTTCAATAAAGATGTAGATTTGAATCATTACAGTTTTACCTCTCTTCAGTAAGCTGTACTTGGCTAGCATCTTAAAAACCCAATCTCATGGTTTACCTTTCATGAAACAAATTTATCCAATTCATATTTGCTGTTTGTTTAAATTGTATTTAGACCTATTCCTGCCATAATCTTTGGTGCTGTCCATTTAGCCCCCTTTCTCTCATTTCCCCATCTCAGGATCTTCATGTGTTCATGTGAGGTTCTTTTTCTTTGCATTTATTGGTTGGATAGCAGACTTCCTGACCGTGCTCCACCAGTGGTCCCATCAACTCTTTGTTTTAAGTGGCTAAATTTATATTGTTGACACTATCTGAAGTTAGTCACTATTTTCTTTCAGCTATCTTTTTTTAATAACAAATCTCAATTGTAATTTTTGACTTGCTTGTTTAAAACAGAAATGAGAACTGGGAAAAGCAGAGGAGGGTTAGAGGAAATGAAGTTATATTTGGAACTTCAAAGGTATAAAAACTAAAACCACAAAGACAAGATTCATTTATAGTCATTACATATTTATAGTCAATTGTCATATATGTTAGGAAAATGCTATAGGATAATGATTTCAAGGAATTGACTTCTTAAACTCAGATTCCCTCACATCTCAATAATGCAAAATTTTAGCTCACTGCCAAAGAAAAGAAAATCCTCCACATTCGTCATGCACTTTATAAAAAAGCACCAAACATAAAATAAAATAAAATAAAATAAAATAAAATAAAATAAAATAAAATAAAATAAAATAATCGAAACAACTTCTAGCTCTTTGCTCTGTCTGTTGTGGGCCCTGGCACCCCTCTTAAGCCATGAGACCTTTCAATTATCTTGACAATGCTTTCATTTTCCTCAATTCTTCATCAGCACCTGCACCTCCACCTTTCACGTTCTGAACTGACACAATCTGGGATTTTGGTACCAGTGTTTTCTAAAAATAATCTTGGAATCATATCTCACAGAAAAAAATTATTTTATGATTTTCTTTGCTAACCATGGCAGCTCCTCGTGAGATCTTGGACTCCTCGTCTTTGCATGTGTTCTTTAACATTCACAGAGGATCTATTAGGTTAATAAAAAACTGAATCCATGGATATTTGAAAGAATTATTTCAGCCTCACATTTCAATGACATATTGGCTGAATATAGACTTTTTCTTTCAGCCAACTGAAGACATTGCACCAATGTCTTTTTTTCATCTAGTCTTGTTGATGATGTAAAGCTAATGCCAAATCTGCTTAGAATTACTTTGAACAGTCTTTTTCTCACCTTCTCTTGAAGCTTCAATAGTTTCTCTGCATACTTGTGGCTTTTAGCATATTGAGCATATCCTTAACATTCGGAACTTTCATTACACTTTCACACGTATGGGGCCTTTTAATTTTGTGTGTGTATTTGTTCATTTGTATACTGCTCTTTAACTGGTAGAACATTTCAATCTGAAGACTTAATATGTTTCTTCAATTACAATAAATTCTATTGTATTATTTCTTTGTATTTCACCTTCTATTCTTATTGTTATCTTTTAGATAAAGATTATTACTTACAGAACTTTCTTCTATGTCTTTTAAATTGTTACCTCTTTATCACCTTGGGCTGTATGTCTAGGTTCTGTTGTCTAATTTCATATCAGGTTATCTAATTTCCTTATCAGTTGTACCCATTCTTCTGTTTGTGTCTACTGCATTTTTACTTTATTTGTTACATTTTTAGTTCCAAGGTTTGACTTTGATTGTTTCATGACAGATAGATCCCAACTCATTATTATGATTGCCAAACCTATATCTAAAACACTAATTAAACTTGTTAAGAAGTCTTTTTCTTACCATCTATTGATTTTTCATAGTTGTAGTTCTGTTGGGTTGTTATGTATTTTTCTTGGTGGCATCCAGCCAAATGTTGATTCTTGACAGTGGGCTCACGGTTGTGGTTTGAATTCCCTGCTGTACACTTTATTCTTCCATTCTCACAGCCAACCTTAGGGAGGCAGAGAAACGGATATTGATTGAAAACAGGACTTCCACTGTTTTCAGAGAGAGTGAAAAAAAAGCAGGATGTATTTTGGGTGGAGTATTTTGTAGGCCAGTCTTCTGAGCACAGTCATTTCATCTGGGCATTACCATGCCCTGCCTCTCTTTAAACTTGTCTCCTGTGTGCAGACAGATCTGAATGGGTGGAACAGAAGGGAGTGGGATTCAGCTGGTATGACCAGCATAGGCACCTCGACTCATTTCCCTGTCATTTCAATGCTCCTACCTCCTTGTACCCCAGGCTTCTACTACCTTTAGGCATGGGATGCCCTTGATGACGCTCCCATCTTTTGTAGAGTTCTTTCCAAAAGGCCCCAGCACGAGTTCCAGGTGGCAATTATCTACTTTTAGATTCTCAGAGGTTTCTCCTAATTTTTAATTAGCCAAAAATATCTCTGAATTTTGAAAACAAGCTATGTATTCACATACTTAAAAAAATCTAAGGCTCAGAGAGGAAGGCTACAGGGGATTGAGGGAGGAAAGAACTTCACTGCAATTTGTTTCTCATCTTGAAAGTGAAAGACTTTGTATTTTGGATAGCTTTCCTTTTTATTATTGATACTAGGGATAATAACTGTTATTCATGTTATAAATATTTACTACCCATGTCTTTTAGTTTTGTTTCAGGTATCTTCAGAGATAAAGAAATTTACATTAAAATATTTGTTTGAAAGGTAGCAAAAGAGAGACAGAGTGAGGGAAAGAGGGAGGGGAGGAGGGAGAGAGAGAGACAGAGAGGAGAGAGGAAAGAGGAGAGGAGAGACCTCCTATCTACTAGTTTACTCTCCAAATGACTGCAATAGCTAGAGCTGGGGCACATGTAGCCAGGAGCAATGGAACTCAATCCAGGTTTCCCACATGGGCAGTGTTGGGCCATCACCTACTCACTCCCAGGGTGCATATTGGCAGGAAGCTGGAATGGAGAGTAGAGCTGTGACTCAAACCCAGGCATTCTAACATAGGTTGCAGGCATTCCATATGTCTTAACCTCTATACCAAACAAACATCATCATACATTGTTATGAAACAAATCTGTCCGCTTTCTACTTAAACATTTCCAGTAGTGTGTCATGCTTAGAAGGCCTTCCTATTCCATGATTAGAAAGCAATTTTCAGCCGGTGCTGTGGCTCATTAGGCTAATCCTCCGCCTGTGGCGCTGGCACACCGGGTTCTAGTCCCCGTTGGGGTGCCGGATTCTGTCCCGGTTGCTTCTCTTCCAGTCCAGCTCTCTGCTGTGGCCCGGGAGTGCAGTGGAGGATGGCCCAGGTGCTTGCGCCCTGCACCCACATGGGAGACCATGTTCATTGGCATTTCGTGGGAAAAACCTGAGCAAACAGGAACACTGGCCCGGTAGGTGGCACGGCATGGCAGACTGTGTCCCATTCCTTTGCCACCAAATAACTCTTGTGAAAGTAGAATTCATTCTGAATGGCTTGAAGTTGCATACTTTAAGGCCTACATAATTCTGCTGAATTTAGAGACGTATTTAAATGAATTAATGTTAACCTTAAGGTACTTTTCTATTTTCTGTCACTCTGTAATAAATGACAAAATCAGGCACAGACTATTTCAAGGGACGTAGAAGGTACTATGAAGGAGTGAGGCACAAACACAGTAGCTTCAGGTTAACATGTTACACATTCTAAGAAGAGACTCAGATTTGAAAGGAGGAGATCCCTAGGCCAGCGCCCGCTGCTCACTAGGCTAATCCTCTGCTTGCGGCGCTGGCACACCAGGTTCTAGTCCTGGTTGGGGCACCGGATTCTGTCCCGGTTGCTCCTCTTCCAGTCCAGCTCTCTGCTGTGGCCCGGGAGTGCAGTGGAGGATGGTCCAGGTCCTTGGGCCCTGCACCCGCATGGGAGACCAGGAGAAGCACCTGGCTTCTGGCTTCGGATCAGCGCGGTGCACCGGCTGCAGCACGCCGCTCAGCAGCCATTGCGGGGTGAACCAATGGAAAAGGAAGACCTTTCTCTCTGTCTCTCTCTCTCTCACTGTCCACTCTGCCTGTCAAAAAAAAAAAAAAAAGCAATTTTTTACACAACCCCCTAACATTTCTTGGTTCAGCCTTTCATGTCTGGATAGAGAATCACTGAGGCTTTAATTTTTTATTTGGCATGAGGTTTGGTGTGCTTTCCACCCTCCCTTTTCCAAGTGTAAGTTTTTGTTGCAATTGTTCTTCTTCTCTGCATTAACTTATTTAGGGTGGGGGGATGGGATAAGCAGTTACGCCTTTTTTGGTTCATAGGTCATCAAACAATAAAGAACCATGGAGAAGGAAGTGGAGAGGGAGAAGAGGAAAGGGAGTACACTCAACTAGAGGCAGGAGTTGGAGGTGGGATATTGAATCCAGGCATCCAATATGGGATGTGGGCCTCCTAACTTCCCCGTTGAATACCTGCCCCTGGAGTTATTAACCTTGACATGAATGTAGCAATTGCACAGGATTTTTGGTCATCTGCCTTGGGAGGGAGATGAGTATGAAGAAGGGTATAAGTGGATGTAAGGTAGCCAGGGAATCAGATGGTGGTAGAGAATACTAATTGTTCACTAAAACGATTTTCCACACTCTTTCTGAGCATATAGCAAGAGTGCATCTTGAACCTACCTCACAGCTAGGCATAGGCATGCAACTCAGCTCTTCTAGCACAGTGTAGGCAGACAGGCATTCATGCCAGGCTCCCTTGTATGTCCTCATCTTTTCCTTTGAAGGCCAGATCTACTGAAGATATTTCAGCAGATACGGCTGTGGGTTATGAGGATTCTGGGTACTTGGAAGACTGCAGGAAGGAGGGCTTCCTGTTGACCAGAACAATTGCCTGGGACCAACTCTTTAGTGAGAAATCAGTTTCTTCGGTATTAAGATAGAAGAAAAGTGTGCGTTTGCTTTAGGTTTCTGGTAGACCCACTGCACTGAGGTAATGAGGTTTCTTTCCTCTCCTAATTTACCAAGGGGCTTGGAGTTGCTTTAATAAAGAATGGGCATTACATTTTATTAAAAAAATTATACCTGGCCAGCTCCGCAGCTCACTAGGCTAATCCTCCACCTAGCGGCGCTGGCACACCGGATTCTAGTCCCGGTCGGGGTGCCGGATTCTGTCCCGGTTGCCCCTCTTCCAGGCCAGCTCTCTGCTGTGGCCCGGGAGTGCAGTGGAGGATGGCCCAAGTCCTTGGGCTCTGCACCCCATGGGAGACCAGGAAAAGTACCTGGCTCCTGCCATCGGATCAGCGTGGTGCGCTGGCCGCAGCACGCCAGCCGTGGCGGCCATTGGAGGGTGAACCAATGGCAAAAGGAAGACCTTTCTCTCTGTCTCTCTCTCTCTCACTATCCACTCTGCCTGTCAAAAAAAAAAAAATTATACCTTAAAATATATCATATAGACCTTCCCTTTAAATATCCCAACATAATAAGTTATAATTATTACATCAATGGAGTACTTGTTGTAGAACTATATATAAACAAGATCATGATAGGGTATTCTTTTAATATAATGATAGACTTTTTTATAATTTTTTTCAAATATATTCAAATGTATTTTAGTTTGCAGGTTTTTTTTATCCCATCTTTGTCCATTTTGAAAAAAGAATACATGCCAGATACAAATTAAATTTTGCAGCATTTCATTGGTCTTTAAGAGTTCATTGTTAGTCACCAAAGCCTGGTGCCTTTATGAAGGATCCATATTTTTACTTTGTTTCAATTTCCTCTGTTGTTATTGATCTACTTGTGTTCTTTACATCTTCTTAAATCAATTTTTGTGTTTCCATTTTCTTAGTAATTCATCCTGTAAATTTGGATTGTAATGTTTGTACTTTGTCCTCTACTTTAATTTAAAGTGTTGCTCATGTAATTGGTTTTATCCCACTGTAAAATCTTGCTGTGCATAACTCTTCCTGATTACAGTTTCTAAGGGTCAGTGTATTGTCAGAGTGTGAGTTATGATGGACAAATTTTACCATTTTCTAATTTATTTGTATTTGCTTTTTTGGTATGAATTCCATCCTCCTGCTTTCCCTGACTTTATTTTTTTGTCTTTTTCTAATATCTTCAGTGCTATTCATTTAAAAAATTTTTTCATTTGTTAATTAGAAAGCATTTGTAGGTCATGAGATTTGCTGTGTCCCATGAATATTAACTCAGAATATTCTTTTTCTAATACGTGTGAATTCATAAAACTCTTCATGGAAAGTCTCCTACTATAATAACTGTGAAGAGTGCCTCCTGGCAACCACTTACAAGAGATCTTCTCATTTCTTCATGGATTTTGGAGGTATTCTAGGTCATCTCTCACTTTTTACAACTCCTATCAGGTGAATCAGTCAGGAACAAAGCCAACTGCACATCCTGCATGACCTGTTTGGTAGATACATTTTTATACATGGTGAATTCATTTCTTAGGAGCCTGTTAAATTTCATCTCTGCTGTACCATATTGCTGTTTATAAAATGGGTTCCAGCAATAACAGTTACTAGCTTTGTGGCATTTGGCAAGTATCTTCACTGCTCTGTGCTTCAGTTCCCTCAAATGTAAAGTCAGGTTACAAATGTAACACGGTATGGTTAACCTCACCATTGGATCGCTCATAGGATTTTTCCAAGAGTTAAGCATTCATAATGAACAGTGCTTATTATAGTTCTGAGGATAATGTTGGTGCCATATAAGTCAGCTATTTTTTTAACTACAATTTAGATGCAGGTTCCAATACTTACATTGAAAGTTTTATTGCTAATTTTCTTCTCATTACATTTTATAGATTGTAGTCATCTTTTTCCAAAGCCTCTGAAGTAGGTATAATATCTCTTCACATGAGAATCATAGAAATAACTGTTCAACGTCACAGTGTAGTAAGTGCTAGAACCTGGATTTGAATCCATATTTGTCAGCTTTTTAAATACAGGCCTTTTTCCTTATGTACCTCAGCATAGTGACCGCACTCTACAAAGTATGCCCCCAATAACATCCTTCTGCCATCACCAAAGCAGAACTTCGTTTTCCTTGGTACACTGCAAGACTGCACTTAGAGTTAACAGCATAGCACCACTGTCCTGGGTGTCTAATGGCATTAATGATTTGTGGCAACTTGGCTTACCCCAGATAATTTGTTAATCAATACCCAGCCTTTTGATTTTCTCCATGCAATCCCTGCAGTTCTCAGTTTGAAACAGATGTTTAAGATGGCATGTGTCTAGTTCGCTCAGAGAGCTTCCTGGCAACCTCTTGGCTTGAAGGTGCCAATAAGTAAATTTTATATATATATATACATACATATATATTTATAAAAATATAAAAAGCCAACTATTCAATATTGCAGAGGATCCCTGGAGTTAAGTTGTAACAGGAGGCTATGAATACTTTCTAAGGTAGTGACTAGAGAGGTAGTTGCTGGAAAAATTCTGTCCGGGTCCCATGAGAAACTTAGCCTCCACCTAGGTATCCACATCCACCAAGTGAGCCTTCCCAAGTCTCTGCAAGACAGCACACTCACTGTCCCTCCTCTCACCTCCTGCAGCAGGCTTGCATCACTCCGGAGGTGTCCTTTAGGGTTGGGTGTTTCATGTACTTGTTTACTCTCCCCAACAAAATGGTAACTCCCATATCTTTGCTTTTGCATCTGTGTCCTCCATATCCTCTCCCAAGTGGGGACTCTGTGGTCTATTTTGTTTGTAAATTGTGACTAAAAGATATATAACATCAAATTTATCATTTGAACCATTTTTAAGTTGCAGCTCAGTGGTATTGAGCACATCCACACTATTGTGCAACCATTACCACCACCACCACTTCGGGAACTCTTACACCATCCCAAACTGAAACTCCATGCACATGGAACAATAACACCCCATTCTCATCTGCCACCAGTTCCGAGCAACCACCATTTTACTCTCTATGAGTTTGACTTCTATAGGCACCCATGGAGGTAGAATCATACAATCTTTGTCCTTCTGTGTCTGACTTACTTCATTTAGCTAATGTCCTCAAGGGTATACATGCTTTAGCATGTGTCAGAATTTCATTCATTTTTAAGGCTGAATAATTTTGGATATATAACCAGAAGTAGAATTTCTGGATGATCCAGTAATTCTTTATTTTTAAAAAAATATTGATTTATTTATTTGAAAGAGTTACACAGAGAGAGGAGAGAGAGAGAGAGAGAGTGTGATCCGAAGCCAGGAGCTTTTTCCAGGTCTCCCACATGGGTGCAGGGGCCCAAGGACTTGGGCCATCTTTCTTTTACTGCTTTCCCAGGCTATAGCAGAGAGCTGGATTGGAAGTGGAACAGCCGAGTCTCGAACTGGTGCCCATATGGGATGCCGGCGCTTCAGGCCAGGGAGTTAAGCAACTGCGCCACAGCGGTGGCCCAGTAATTCTGTATTTATTTCTTAAAGATTATATTACTTTTTAAAAGTTTATTTATTTTTGCTTATTTGAAAGGCAGAGAGAGGAAAAAAGAGAAAGAAAGAAATACCAAGAACTTCCATGCACTGGTTCACTCCCCAAATGTATTCAACAGCTGGAGCTGGGCCAGGCTGTAGCCAGGAGCCAGGAATTCCATTTGAGTCGCCCATGTGGGTGGCAGGGACCTGAGTACCTAGGCCACCATATTCTGCCTCCCAGGTTGGGCATTAGAAGGAAACTGGATCAGAAGTGGAGCTAGGATTTAAACCCAAGCACTTGGATATGGGATGCAGATGCCGAGGCAGCTGCTTAACAAACTATGCCATAACGTATGCTCTTACTCTTTTTTGAGAAACTATGATACTTTTTCCCTCGTTTCTGTGCCATCTTACGTTCCTACCAGCATGCACAAGAACTCTAATATTGCTAAACTGTCCCAACACTTGTAATTTTATAAGCATTCTTCTGACTTATGAGAATAAATATTAGGATATTTAGAATTGAATTGCACTTGACAATCTTTTGTATACCTTAACAACTTTTGTAACAATCTTTGGTTTAAGTACTGTATCTCTATCACAAAAGAAGAAATTAAAGAAATTAAAGTTTGGAGATAGTTCATCACTTGTTCAATATTTCAGAGCTAATATATGGAAAAAACAAAACCATATAACCATATCTCAACCCCTGATTCCATCTATTGGTTGAATTAAGCAATGTATGTCTCTATGTATCTATGTATCTGTGTTCTTGGAGATTGTTACCTGCATTCTCTGTTCACTCTGAGTCATAGCGAAGGGCAGCTCCCTCATTGAGAAAGGACTTCAGGAAAGGAGATCTATTAATCTCCCCTGTCTTCCAAGGTACTAAATAAAGTAATTGGCTAAGTTAGTAGCAGGGAGCATTTAGGTTAAATATTAACTTGGTGGCTGATGCCCATGAGACATAAGAAAGGATTATCAAGGGATACTTTGAAATAATTCAAATCCTGAAAATATTTTATATTGGATTCCATCCCAGTGCATGACTGAAGGCACCCTTGTTCATTATTTGAAAGCAGGGGTTAGACTGGATGACTTTATATACATTTTCCCAGTTCTCTGATCCTACCCCAGAGTCTACCAAACAGAACTGTACTGTTCAGGACAGTCATTCTTTGGGGTTTAAAGATGGATCTTGTTACCTCAGCCCCTTCATTCTTAATCTCGAGTATGTAGACTCCATACTGAATTCCATTTAATACCCTAGGATTTCACCAAGGACTTGTGGAGAGGTCAGAGGTGACCAAACTCACTGGCAATTAGCTCTTTATATTAGTGTTGATCTGGTTTCACTCTGTGGTCCTGGAAAATTTGAAGATGTTGCAGTTTTGGCTTGAGATTAAAGGACACAGTGTGAGGGTCCAAACTTTATGAGTTATCATTGCTAGACTGGGGCATGGTAACTGTTCTAAGACAATGCTTAGAAGAAAGACACGGCCGGCGCCTCGGCTCAACAGGCTAATCCTCCGCCTAGCGGCGCCGGCACACTGGGTTCTAGTCCCGGTCGGGTCGCCGGATTCTGTCCCGGTTGCCCCTCTTCCAGGCCAGCTGTCTGCTGTGGCCAGGGAGTGCAGTGGAGGATGGCCCAAGTGCTTGGGCCCTGCACCCCATGGGAGGCCAGGAGAAGCACCTGGCTCCTGCCATCGGATCAGGGCGGTGCACCGGCCACAGCAGCCATTGGAGGGTGAACCAATGGCAAAGGAAGACCTTTCTCTCTGTCTCTCTCTCTCACTGTCCACTCTGCCTGTCCAAAAAAAAAAAAGAAGAAAGACACCCAGTGGGGGACTAAATTACTACGGTACTTATTTAGACGCTGCCACCAGCAAACCATCTGCCTTGGAGCAATCTTCAGGGCACGCAGAAACCTGTGTGGTTTCACTGATGCTGGGCAGTCCCTCCACTTTTCTGCAGAACAACTGTACTTGTGCTCTGTTTAGGGGCCCTGGAAGCAAGACCAAGTCTTCTGCCTTCAGTTGGCACATGTGTTCAATATCCACTATTTCTCAGTATTTTAAAGGAACAATCAGAGCTCCCCATCTCACACTTGTTAGAGAGATGAATAATAAACCTTTTTGAAAAGTCGTGTGCATTTCCTGGCACTTTAACAACCTTTTCAGGAGAATGTTGCAATTTAGGGGAAACTGTTTTAGGAAACATTTATGAAAATGCTTGCTGGGAAATTAAGGCAATATGCTATACAAACAGAAGTGTAGTCACTCAGTAAGTAATGTATATCGGAGACTAAAAAAGATAAAAAGAAGCAAATTATTGAGAAAATAAAGTACTGCCTCTCATTCATGTCCTCTTGCCTTTTCTGTTCCGTGAAGCTCTGTTGTTGGGATCCTAATCCCTTGACACCATAACGAGCGAATGAGCAACTGAGTTTAATGGGGTGGTCACTGAAGTATGGCTTTCGTCAATACCCTCACTTTTCCAGGAGGCCAGCACTGTTGACCTGGAGTGGTGAGCGCACCGCTCCTGCCTGACACAGGACAGTCAGCCTGTAGAACCGCACAGCACGGAATGCGGAGCCGGGAGAGTTCTCGGTGATGATCCTGTGCAACATGGCCATTGCTTAGATGAAAAACTGAAGCCACCAGAGGTGCCATTTCCTTTTGCTTTTAAATTTCAGGGTTGGAAATTGTAGAAAGTAATAGGAAACAAGTTGAAAGGGCGATGGCGCATGTATCAATCCCAGACGCAGGGAGTAATCATTTTAGAGTAGCTGTGCCTTCAGAAGGTGTATGGGGTCCTGCAGAGATGACCAGAACCACTCGGCTCACTCCCAATCAGATATTGTTCCAATAATACACAGAGCCAAGGCCAGCAGGACCTTGCTTAGCACTTAGCTGATCCTCATTCTTATCGGAACTCCCTTTCAATCCCAGATAACTTTACACTGTTTTGGAAACCACCCTTCAAAGATCTGCCTCTTTCCTTCCGCAAGGCAGCTGGACATTTCTGTTGGCAGCTATGATTAGTGCTGGATCACTGAAAATCCACACACTTAAATCATTCTTATTTTTACCCACTCGATTGCTCTCTCCTAATTTTAATTGTCTGAATTTGAGTGTGTGCGATAAGAACTCAGGGTCATATCACATACGTCTGAATCCCTTCCCTGACTGTGGGCTCTGCCTTGCAAGTGATGGTAGCAGGAATTGGCCAATTAGAACTGTAGGATTTTGCCGGCACTGCCCAGACTTCACAGAGAATGTCTAGCTGTGTACACTCCCATGGATCTGAGTTAATTTCACAATTTTTCACATCCTATTGTAATATACGGCCCATCTCAAGTAAGGGCCCTGTCCAAGAATGCTTTGATGTTTTATTTAATTATTTTCAAAATTTGAGATTAAAAATTCAAAGTAGAAATCCATATTTTTCTTTTTTCTTCTATGAGGTTTAATGTTTTGATTTCGTCTTTAATCACAAAAGAGCATGGTGAACAAAATGTGTTATGGTGGGATTATGGAAAATTTTTTAATCCTTTTATACATTAAAAACATCCTACAACGAAACTAGTATAAGTATGAATCAGAAAAAAATGTTTTGAAGAATCTCCCCGGGTGTAGTGGGAATCACTGGGCGTTGTGACATCGAATATTTGAATCTCTCACGTCAGCTGACTCAGCTGAACAATGAGGTGTAAACCACTGCTCGTATGACTTCTGAGTGACTGGCTGCTTTGAGACCTTATCTCTCCCTGAAAAATCATAACTCATCATCATCAGAAGTGGACTTACAGGGCCTGGGGGATGATTTAGACACTAATTTTACTGTTTACAGCTTCCGATTTGAAGCCAGAACTCTCTGAGAAACCACGCCTTACAGAGTTGAGAGAGAAGCCAGGATCCTTCCAGACATACGTGGATGACGTCAACACTCGGCTTTCTGCATCTTCAGGTTTTTCCGTGTGACAAAAATGCTCTTTGTTCTCTGTTCCAGAGTCAGACCCATCCTTGCCACGTGGCATGCAGATTTATAACTGGGGTCAAAGGTTTCAGCAAGTACAGATTTCTTTAAGCCAAAGTCCATTTGCGTGCATTCCCAGAAATTCAGAGCAGTGCATTTCTATCCACTGCCTTCTCACCCCTCTCAGGAGGCTGGGGAGAAGGCAGGGAGGAGTTTCCAAAGGACTCTTGCTCTGCTAATAATGACTGGCTCCAACGGCTGACGCAGGATACTCTGGGGGCTTTATCGACCCTGTCTTTGTTCAAACTGAGATAGTGTTCACACTGTCAAAGGCAGTCCACAAAAAAGACTGTGCCTGTGACCTCGATTTCTCAGTTGGTGTAAATGGAAACACCACAAACCAAACGTTTGTTGAAAATGTGCTTCTTGCCCAAACAATCCATTTTCATGTTGCAATTGAAAAGTTCTCAGCGGAAAAAGAATGGGTTAAAAACAAATGGATACACACATACAATCAGAACCGGTTCTGGGATTAGATCTGGGCATGTAGAACAACACAAGGGACATCAAAATATTTCTGATTCTATACCTGGGGTGTGGGTACGTGATCCAAGACACAAGCCAAAATCTTTGATGGCTGAATTACCCTGCCCACTCCCCGCACCTCTCTTGAAGATAGGCAATGCGGAACGTTGATGAATTCTTTCAGGCCCTATGGTATCACTCAGCAATTTTCCCAGCTTGGGGAGTGTGGAAGTCTGAGGTCCTTGTGTCAATGCCATCTAAAAAATATTTCACCTGAAGCCAATTTTGTAATGATGCTAACAAAACCCATTCCAGCAAGCAATTTTGTACAAGGCATCCATTTTTGGATCCCAACCCAAATACTTGTAAAAACAGCATCCTATAGAGTCTGATTTACCACAAGGACTGGCGGCAGACTCCAGGTATGCTGTTGATCCTTGAATTCCTTAGCCTGGGAAGGAGCCAACTCACCTATGGAACACCTGCCAGACAAAGGAAACTATGCCTGCCTAGAAACTATGCTTAGAAGACTTTGGTAATTGCAAACCACGTAAATGATAACCACACGTCTCAGTTCCTCAGAATTCTAGTGGGGAAAGCTGATTAAAAAAAAACAACAACAACATGAAGAGTAATAATTTAACTCCTTTCTCAAGGTATGTTCAGGATGCTGTCAGAACACTGGAAAGTGTACACTCAATCCAGTCAGATGGGAGCGGACAGTCAAACCACTGTATCTGTGGTAAGAATTCCAGAACTCTGCTGGTGCACCTTGTCTAGAAAAAAACACTTACCTTCCAAATGAATCACACTCGTCCTAGAACCAGGTCACATGGCTTAGCTCTTCTCACAAAGACTCTGTGTATCCATCTGCATCATCATGGAATGGAAGAAAGGTAAAAGTTAATGCTTAGACACAGGCCCATTTTTTTTTCCAATGTATGGTTGAATGCTGTTGCAGCCATGTGGGAAGTGAACCAATGGATGGAAGATTTCTGTCTTGCTGTTTCTGAAACTCTGTGTTTCAAATAAATAATAAATTATTGTGCAATATTATTTCACATGATATTTCCAGATTTCTCCCATATTTCAAGGGAACAATTAAAGCTTAAGCAGCATCAGCTTGACTGTCAATTCAATAGATAATATCAAGTATAACAAAAAAACAAGAAATGCCTTCATTTCCTGTAATGATACTTCAATAGAGTGAGCTTAAAATTGGAGAATGGGCTCTCTCTGAGGCTGTGTGGAGGGCTCCTGGCCCTGAAAATGAATG